GCTTGAGCGGGGAAAGCGCCGCTCGAGCCTGAAATGCGATCTCCCAGAATATTTTTTCAGACATTGATGTCCGCTTGAGCGGGTAAATTCATGCTCGAGCAGGGATCTACGTAGAGTGACTTTTAGCTCGAGCGTCTGAATTAACGCTCGAGCGTAAAAATGAGGCAATCAGTACTTTTGCAGACCATGAGGGTCTGCTCAAGCGGTGGAACCCACGCTCGAGTGGGGACCTCTATTTCAGAAATTTTGTAAAAGAGTTCTATGTTTCATTTTCTGTTCTCTCTCACTTCTGAGTACTCTTAGGCATCCATTGGGCATTACGAATGAATTAAAATGATAGGAAAGAAGCCTAAGAGGGATGTATGAATTAAGAACGGATTGAATCGTTTGTGACCCATATGTGTTATGTAATGTGTAGGGTCGAGCTCAAGGGTGAATCCACCGGCAGAACACTGTGAGTAATATCTTAGTAAAGATATTTTGAAGTATGTTATTTGTCCAATTACTTATTTCCCTATAAGTCTTATTAGTTTGTTACTTTGAATTGTGGACAAATGTTTTCTATGCCATATGGTTGGGTCAAAGGCCGTTGGATACAATTGAATGGGCCAAAGGCTGTCTAACATGAATGAATGGGCCAAAGGCCGTATGACATGAATGAATGGGCCAAGGTCGTCTGACAGGAATGAATGGGCCAAAGGTCGTATGACGTGAATGAATAGGCCAAAGGCCGTCTAACATGAATGAATGGGCCAAAGGCCGTATGACATGAATGAATGGGCCAAAGGCCGTATGACATGAATGGATGGGCCAAAGACCGTTTGACATGAATGAATGGGCCAAAGACGCGAATGATTGGGCCGAAGGCCATCAGACAGGAACGATTGGGCCAAAGGCCGTCGGATATGAATGAATTGGTACCGAGGTCGTTTGATGTGTTTGGAACCGCAGTCACTTGACCTATATGTATATATATATATACTAAATAGAAATACGAATTAGGCCCAAGGCCGTCTGATGTATATTGTTCTAAGTGTCGTTCGTGTATCTTCTTTATTTGATATTATTCACTGGGCTTTCGCTCACGCTCATTCATGTGTTTGTAGGTGAGCCAAAGGAGGTCCAAACCCAGCCTCAATGAAGTTTGTGTGAAACAGTCAAGGTTTTGAAGAGTCAACCCATACGTCTCACGCACGAGACTTGTTTTCGCCGTTTTGCTATTTTGTTATATTTTGTCATGTCGGCGAGAACTTTGGATTACGGTTATATATAGTTTTGATTGGATGACCATGACTTGAATGATCCTATTGTGTAAAGATCATATGTTAACTTTTCTGGATGTGAGTTATTAATGTGTGTTTGTGAAATGTTATGATGTGCCATTTAAGCACGGCTCTATGGACAAAAGTTTTAAATTTGCTTCCGTTTGGCCCCTTTACTCTGTTGAGATATGTCTTGTTTGGTTTGAGGCTGCAGGTAATCCCTTGATTACTGGCCAGTTATGTCCTCAACCCATAGGGGCAGGTTCGGGTCATGACAATTACTGGTCTAACGGCCACCAATGTTGGACGGCAACCCCTCAATGGTGGCCAGCCGGCCACCACTACTAGCTTGCCGGCCACCAATGAATTTTGAGCAGTGTGCTCTTCAAGCATGGCAGAGTTGATCTTAAGAAGGAAAACAATGCAAGGGTTGTGCAAACAAAGGCTTTCGAGGGTAGACAACGGATGTTCTTCAGGTGAAAACCGAGCATGCATGGGCCTCCTTCATTTCGCGGGACTAGTTAACTAGTCAATTAGTTTAATTAGCAATTAATTATTTATTTGTTGTAATTAATTAGTTTTAACTAATTAGTTTGTGTTGTAATATTTAAATAGTTTAGTTAGTTGTAGCTAATTAGTTTGTGTTGTAATATTTAATTAGCTTAGATAGTTAGCTAATTATTCATTCAAGTTTTGTAATAATTAGCTTAATTAGCTTAGCTTAGTTAGCTAGTTAGCATTTATTCATTCAGACTCTCCTTCGTGAGAGCATAAACGTTGTAATAATGTGCATGTCTTCCAACCCGATGTTTTTCTCCCTTTTATTTATCCGCTTACGATGGTTAGTTTGGGGACATGTTTCAATTAGCATACCTTATGCTTGCATCCATTCATTTGTCTTGCATGCCCCGAGGCTCGACGCATCATTCAAACTACATTGTCGTTTCAATACCTCGTTGAATACATGTATAGAACACATGCTATGAAATTGTTGCAAATAACATGTTAAGTAGCCGAGCCTAGTAAATTGCATATCGCATGTGTTGCATTAGCCATTTTGTATAGTTAGGAATCATACATATTTTTTCTAACTCTCTCATTTTGTCTTAACTTGGAGTACTAGATGAGTTTTTAGTGCTTTAGCATAATTGCATGAGTGTCGATGTTGCCCTATCTAGCATGATTGCCATGAGGCTAAGTGCTTACTTGATATATTGCATGAATGCCTGTGGATAAAGGCTTGTTGTTTGATTTGGAATGATTCAATGAATGTACATTTTAAGCCCACTTTGTTGAGTGGCAAATTTGAAAACTTTAAGCCCACTTGAGGTGGCAAATTCAAACCCTTTTCGAAAAACAAACATGAAGTTGAATTGTTCCAATTCGAGCAAACTAGTCTATACTTGCTTGTACGCATCACGTAGTAATGCTAGCATAATAACTGAAACAAGAGCATATAATGTACATAAAAGTCATATCATGATTAGTAGAGGCTGATCTTTGATTGGGTGAGCGGGGGTGCTCAATTCATGACCTTCTCCTCTCGTACCTAAGTTCCCGAGCCGAGGCAACTTTGGTGATGATGAACATGTGGCCTTTGGCACGAGTCATAGGTTTCCTAAATTTTTCAAAAATAAAATATTTAGGTGGCGACTCTGTATCTAGGAAAGCAATCCATTTTTAGCAATTTGATTCAAAATCGATTTTCTAAAAGATTTGCTAGATTTGGACTGTTTGGTGTTTATCAATTTCACATTGCACTTGTGAGATTAGATTCAAAACCACGAGAATCTGAACTGTAGGACTTTCTTTCGAGCTTCCAAAAGGGGGCGCGAAAAAGTCGAGCTACACGCTCAAGCAAACAAAACCATCGCTCGAGCGCACAATGACCCCCTTCCAATAGTTTAGACCTGCAAAAGATCGCTTGAGTGCAAGAAAGGCCACTTGAGCAAAGATATCAAACTCTCAGTAGTTTTGCAGATTGTAAAAGACCGCTCAAGCGTAAGAATGGTCACTCAAGCGAACAAGTCAAAATTTGGGCAACAATTCTTTGAAAAACTAACTTCCCAACATATTTCAAACGCAACCAAAACTCTCAATAGACAAACTCAACACAAAATAATAATGAAATGAGATGGACAACAGCTAAGTACATGGGTCCTCAAATCCAAAAGCAACAAAATGGGTCTGGTCTAAACCAGAATCGTTATACATATGTGTTCTATTTGTTTACGTGCTTATGTGTTGAGAATGAGACTAAGACTTAAGGGAGAAATGATGTAAGAAGTGATGGATTAGTATGTGAATTTTGAGTTGATCTTGTTCCACATCTACTCTTATATAGGATGTCCGGACGTGGTAGGTGTCATGACAAACCTTGTCGAGGTGGTCGGGATATTCTGGCTCAACCAGAGATCCCTCCTCAAGAAGAATGAGTGGGTCAAAATAATGTAGCTGCTCCACTAGCCTAAAATGCTATGGGAGCGTTGGCTCGAGAGATGGTCGGGACTCTTAGAGAGTCAATGGATATTCTTAGAGCCGAGCAAGCAACTAGGACTATCAAAGTGGCTTCATTTCTAAAAAATGAATTCTTCCGCTCAAATTCTTTCAAATTTCTTGGTGGCGCCGAACCATTAAAGGTGGATGAATGGCTTGAGAAAATCACCAAATCTTTTGAAATTTTAGACATTCGTGAGAGTGAACCTTGAGTGGCACTTGCCACTTATCAATTGAAGGGGGATGCCGACCAATGGTGGAAGTATGCCAAGGGTTGAATTAAACTCACTTAGGAGGCGTTTTCTCATGCCTTTCGGGAGAAATACCTTCCTCCTACTGCGAGGGAACGTTTAAGAAGGGAGTTTGAAGAACTTGAACAATTCGACAATATAGTGGCGGAGTTTGAGGCCACCTTTATGAGCCTATCCCATTTTTCACGAAACTGTATGGCAACGAAGAGTGATGGTGTCTAGATTTAGAAGAGGTTGAGGCCAAGAATTTTGATGAAGGTGATAGGAAACATGACCCGGGATTATGATAGACTAGTGGAGTTCACGGCACATGATGAGATTATGCTTGAAGGTGAAGAGAAGAGGCGACGGCTTAAGAGACAACGGTTTTCAGAATCTCGAAGGGGCTTTATGGCATCCAAAAAGTCGAAGGGTTCTACGTCTTCTCATCTACCTCCATTACCAGCTATGTCATTGATTTCTACATCTGGAAAGAGCACGGATAATACAGGACACAGTGGGATCACTTATTATCAATGTGGTGACATAGGTCACAAGTCTATTACATATCCACGAAGGAGTAACCAACTGTGTCAAACTTCTACCCCATTCTCAAAGCTAGACATTTGGTGGAAATCAATCACCTTTTTGTTATCAATGTGGCCAGTCGGGTCATATGAAGAAGTCATGTCCCTAGATTGTCGAAACGGCCAATACTCCAAGGTTTTCGGCAAGACAGAGCCAGAGGCAGACTCATCAACCAGTTCAGTCTAGAAAGGCGTCTAGAGCCATACATGGGGCCACCTCCGCACAATCTACACAACATGCCTATCTTCAGAGAGATGATCAGAGTGAATGGAGACCCCAAGGGAGAGTTTATGCAATTACTGCATCTGAACAATCGACTGGGCCATTGGTGATGCGAGGTACATATCTTATATATAATACTTGGGCCAACGTGTTGATAGATACAAGAGCATCTCATTCATTCATAGCATCTACATTTGCATCCATGTTAGGGTTAGAGGTTGAACCATTAGAATCTTCTCTTGTGGTAGAATTACCAATCGAGGGTAAAATTGTTCTGAACCATAGGTGTCGCGGGTGTGTGATCGAAATCCCTAATCGCCAACTCCCTTTTAGTTTGGTGTTGTTAGATATGATGGTTTTTGACATCATTCTTGGCATGGACCGGTTGCCTTCTTATCGTGCCATTATAGATTGTTATCACAGGAGAGTTACTGTATGTACTGCTGGTGGTGATTGTTTCTATTTTCTTGGGGATAGAACTGATAGACTTTTACCGCTATTATATGACTCTCGTAGTCGAGGCAAATTTACTTCTCTTCTTGCAACTTTGACGAATGATGGGAATGGTGGAGTGAGAGGGGTATTTCCTAGGGTGGTTTGTGAGTATTTAGATGTATTTCCAGAGGACCTCACTAAACTACTGCCTCATCGTGAGGTCAAGTTTTCTATAGACTTAGTTCCCGGCACGGCACCTATTTCCATGTCGCCCTATAAATTTGCTCCGACAGAGTTGCATGTTTTGAAGGAGTAATTGCAAGAGTTGTTATACAAGGGTTTTATACATCCTAGTACCTCACCTTAGGGAGCACCATCTCTTTTTGCCAAGAAGAAGAATGGTTCATTGTGGCTATGCATCGACTACCGAAGGTTGAATAGGGTCACAATTAAGAATAAGTATCCGTTGCCTAGAATAGATGATCTTTTTAACCAACTTAAGGGTTCTCAATGTTTCTCAAAGATAGATCTAAGATCGGGTTATCATCAATAATGTGTGAAAGAGGAAAATATTTCAAAGACGGCCTTTCATACTCGATATGGCCACTATGAATTCCTTGTGACGCCGTTTGGTTTAACTAATACTCCTGCCACTTTTATGGACTTGATGAATTGAGTTTTTTGAGAATACCTCAACAAGTTTGTAGTAGTTATTGTGGACGACATTCTTATATATTCACCCTCTGAGGAAGAACATGAGGCGCACCTTCACATTGTTGTGCAATTACTTAGGGAGCACAGGTTGCATGCTAAGAATGAGAAATGTGAGTTCTGGCTTTCTAAGGTGAAATTATTGGGTCATGTCATTTCTAGGGATAAGGTTACTATAGACTCTTCGAAGATCGAGGTGGTGTAGAATTGAGAGCGACCTAAGAATGCTTTTGAGGTCTGCAGTTTCTTGGGTCTTGTCGGCTACTATAGACGATTTGTGAAAGACTTCTCCACGTTAGCTTCTCTATTGACTAGGCTAACTAGAAAGGGAGTGAAGTTTGTTTGGAATGAATCATGTGAGAAATCCTTCTTACAGCTAAAGAGGAGATTGACCACTGCGGCAATTTTAATCATTCCTGAAAGAGGGTTGGGGTACATTGTTTACTATGTACTGTGATGCCTCTAGAGAAGGTTTAGGATGTGTTCTGATGCAAGAGGGAAAAGTAGTGACGTATGGTTCACACCAATTGAATACCCACAAAAGAAATTGACCAACTCATGACTTGGAGTTGGCTGCGATTATTTTTTCTTTAAAACTGTGGAGACATTATTTGTATGGGGAGAAATTTGAGGTGTTCTCAATCATAAAAGTCTTAAATACCTATTTTCCCAAAAGGATTTGAATTTACGTCAAAATAGGTGGATCAAATTTTTGAAGGATTATAATTTTGAATTACACTACCATCCCGAAAAAGTCAATGTGGTGGCCGATGCCTTAAGTAGGAAATCTATGAGTACCATTGCTAATCTTGCAATTAGAGAATGGGAGATGTTGGGTGATTTGGGTGAATTTGATTTGTATCTTAGTGAATCTTCCGAGCATGCCACCTTGTTTTTCGTCCATGCACAACCAACACTTGTTACTCGAGTTATAGAGGCACAACAGGGTAACTCGAAAGTTGAAGCAATCAAAGAGAAAATCGCACAAGGGAACGAGGAAAATGGTTTGAGGACAAATTTTGATTCTAATGTTTGGTATCTAGACTGCCTTTTTGCACCTGAGTTGTGTAAAGATGAAGTACTTCGGGAATTTCATCACTCTCGCCTTGCGGTACATTCGAGAGGCACAAAAATGTACCATGACCTTAGCCAACAATTTTAGTGAAGGGATATTAAGTGAGATGTGGCTTCATTTGTGTCCAAGTGTTTAACTTGTCAACAAGTAAAGGCAAAACATCAACGGCCAGCTGGGTTATTGCTACCTTTGCCTATAGTTGAATGGAAGTGGGAACATATCACTATGGACTTCGTTTCGGGCCTTCCTAGAACACAAAGGGGTAACGACGCAATTTGGGTTGTTATAGATTAACTAACTAAGTTAGCTCATTTCCTCGCTATGTAAATGGGTGACTCGGTTGATTACTTAGCAGAACTTTACATTAAGGAGATTGTCCAACTTCATGGAGTTCCAGTGAGTATTGGCCTGGATCTAGACCCTCGTTTTACCACACGATTATGGCAAAGTCTACAAACTGTTATGGGCACCCAGTTAAACTTTAGCACCGCCTACCACCCTCAAACAAACGGACAGTCCGAGCACACTATTCAAATCTTGGAAGACATGTTGAGAGCTTGTGTACTAGACTTTAAAGGTTCTTGGGAGAGACACCTACCTTTTAGCGGAGTTCACCTACAATAATAGTTTTTAAGCTAGCACTGGGATGGCACCTTTTGAAGCCTTGTATGAGTGACTGTGTAGATCACCATTGTATTCGACCGAGGTAGCGGATTCACCTATGCTTGGATCGAAATTGGTTCATGAAACCACCGAGAAAATTGCTCTCATTCGAAAAAGGTTAATTACGGCTCAAAGTCGATAAAAGAGCTATGCCAACCGGAGGAGGAGACCTCTATCATTTGATATGGGTGATCATGCATTTCTGAAGATATCGCCTAGAAGAGGTTTAATGAGATTTGGGCGAAGTGGGAAATTGTCACCTGGATTTATTGGCCCTTTTGATATTATAGAATGTGTGGGAGAGGTAACTTATCGCCTTGCCTTGCCACCATAATTATCTGAAGTACACGATGTGTTTCATGTCTCCATGCTCCGCAAGTATGAGCTCGATCCTTTCCATGTCTTAGATTGTACAAATTTAGAGGTGGATGAGAACGCTTCATATGAAGAGAGATCGATGAAAATCTTGGACACCCGAGAACAAGTTTTGAGGGGCAAAGTCATACCCTTAGTCAAAGTGTTATGGCACCACAATGGGGTGGAAGAGGCTACTTGGGAACAACAAGCTGAAGTTCATGAGAAATACCCAGATTTATTTAATAATATGTAAACTTGATTGTTTGTTGTTTTCATATCTTATGTATACGGGTTGTAAAAGAAAGTAAATGAAAGAAATTTAAATCCTCATGCTATTGTTTGAATTCAGCTTTGATTTCATTTTGATTTGCGAGGTTACGATGATTAAGGCTATTGTTATTGTGGTATTCATCTTCCTTGGAAATTGTTAGAGTTGTTTTGGCAAGAACTATGAAATTTCATAGATGAAATTCTTTAAGGGGGGCAGGCTTTAACAGCTGATTTTGGGTAACGCTCAAGCTGTCATTTGGTCACTCGAGCGTAGATTTGCAACTCCTAGTATCTCACATGTTTGCAGGCGAGACCGCTCAAGCGAAAGAAAGTTCACTCGAGCGCAGATTTCAAGCTCCCAATATTTTCACTATAACTCTGCAAAACTTCTGAGACCATGCGTTTACCACTCGAGCGATGCAAAGTTCGCTTGAGTGGTCTCTTTGTATTTTGGCACTTTGCTCGAGTGATGAAAGTTCGCTCAAGCGGTCTGTTCAGGGCAACAAAGTTAAATGCGAACCAAACCCATTTCTAGCTCACTTTTTCATCTTCTCTCTTTCTCTCTAACAGCCCTTTTCCAAACCCTAGATTTCAGCTAGTAATAGCAAGAATCAATCTTTGAGCCTTCATTGAAGTTGTTATTCATGCCAAGAGTTAAGTTTTGAACCGATTGGATCGTGTTATTTCAGAAGTTCATTGCGTGGATCTTCATCTTTCACTTGCAACTCTTAAGGTTGGAATAGTTTTACCCTTGTATAGTTATACTTTGGTTTAAGTGTGCGTGAACTCTTAATGTCACGACCCGAACCCGCTCTTATGGGTTAAGGCCATAATCGGCCAGTAATCATGAGATTACCTGCGGCCTCAAACCAAATAAGACAAACCTCATCAGAGTAAAGTGGCCGAACGGAAGCAAATTTAAAACCTTGTCCATAGAGTCGTGCTTATATGCACATCCTAACATTCCACATTTACATATGTTAACAACTCACAACAGAAAGTATAGTAGCATAAGGTTCTATATAGACAGGATCATTCACATCTAAGTCAGCCAAACAAAACTATACACAGACGTATACCAAAATCCTCGCCAACATGACGAAATACACAGAATGGCAAAAGGGCGAAGACATGTCTCGTGCGTGAGACGCAAGGGGTGACTCTTCAAAACTTTGGTTGTTCCATACAGACTTCACTGAGGCTGGGTCTGGACCTCTCTAGGCTCACCTACAAACACATGAATGAGCGTGAACGAAAACCCAGTGAATAATATTAAATAAAGAATATACATTGGAACAATATATCCCAAACGGCCTTGGGCCCAATTTATATTTCTAACTAATACACACATACATAGACATATGTAAGTTAAGTAACTGCAGTTCCAAATACATCATACGGCCTCAGGCCTAATTCATTCGTATCATTCAGGTCAAACTGGCCTTTGGCCCATTCATACTTTCATGTCAAACTGTCATTCGTGTCAAACTGTTATTCGTGTCAAGCTGTTATTCATGTCAAACTGGCCTTTGGCCCATTCATTTATTCATGTCGAAATGGCCTCTAGCCCATTCATTCATGTCAAAACGGCCTCTGGCCCATTCATTCATGTCAAACGGCCTCTAGCCCATCCATTCATTCTTGTCAAAACGGCCTCTTGCCCATCTATTCATTCTTGTCAAAATGACCTCTGGCCCATTCATTCATTCTTGTCAAAACGGCCTCTGACCCATCCATTCATTCTTGTCAAAACGGCCTCTGGCCCATTCATTCATTCTTGCCAAAACGGCCTCTGGCCCACTCATTCATTCTTGCCAAAATGGCCTCTAGCCCATTCATTCATTCTTGTCAAAACGACCTCTGGCCCATTCATTCATTCTTGTCAAAACAGTCACTGGCCCATTTATTCATTCTTGTCAAAACGGCCCCTGGCCCATTCATTCATTCATTCTTGTCAAAACGGCCTCTGGCCCATTCATTCATTCTTGCCAAAACGACCTTTGGCCCATTCATTCATTCTTGTCAAAACGACCTCTGGCCCATTCATTCATTTGGTATAGCAAACATTGTCCACTAATCGAATCAACGAATCTTATAAAACTTACATGGATGTAAGCAATTGGACAATAACATATTTCAGATATCTTTGTTAAGATATTACTCACTGTGATCGGCTGATTGATTTGACCTGGAGCTTGACCCTACACATTACATAACACATATGGGTCACAACCGATTCA